GGGGGTGGTGATGGTGAGAGGTGATGGAGAGGTGGTGATGGTGAGTTGGAGGGGGTGGTGATGGTGAGGTGTATGTGTGTTCCCACGGGGGGAGGAGGCAGGGGGTAGAGGTGGGGGTTGGAGGGGTGGCGATGGAGAGGTGGTGATGGTGAGAGGTTATCTGGGCTCTGTGTGGAGCTCACAGGGCAGGGACTGTCCTCCTCAGCAGTGGCTCAGGGAGCTCTGTCCTGTGACCATACCGTGGTCACTCATCTGCTGGGTTGGCCTGTCCTGCTGGTTGTGGGCAGGTTGGGGCAGGGCTGGGGCTGCTCACAGTAATCGTGCGTGGCTGGGCCCTAGCTCAGCCACCAGCCAGCTTCTGCTTCCTCTCCAGCTCTGACAAGGCTGGCTGACCACTGGGAGGGGGTGGGATGGAGCCCCGGGCGGGGGCAGGACAGGCGCTCTAGAGGTCCTATCCTCCTCTCTATCTCTCTGCATTGCTGAAGCAGTCCCTCCAACTCGAGGACGTTTTACAATTGTCAGAGAAAAGGAATCTTCTGCCCCAACTACTGGCCAGCTCCACCTCCTAGCCAGCTGAGAGTCCACCTTTGTGCGTTGCCCTCCTGGAACAGGGGTGGGGCCGCCAGTCAGCAGCATCATATCAGTGTGGGATGAGAGAGGCAGGGTAGAGGAAATCTGTTGCCCCACATACATGCTGAGTACATGAGTCCTTTTCAGCAGAGCTGGCAGTGTTGCATCTCCCATCCTGTGGCCTCTGGACTGTGGTGGCAGCCTCTTGGGTCCTGGACACTTCACCCCACCATGCCATAGCCTATGGCCACCACAGAGAGCCCTGGGGGCAGCATTGAGCTGCGTCGTGCCCTAGAACATTGACTATAAATCAAGCCTGCACATTAGAATCTCCTGGGTGAGGTGTGTGTGTGTCTGGGTGGAGTGGCTTTTTAAATACCTGAACCTACCCTTGACCAGTTAAACCAGAATCTCCAGGGTAGGATCCTGGCGTTAGCTGAAGAGCAGCCAGGGCTGAGAACAACCACCAGGGGGCATCCCATGGTTTCTCTGCACCCTTCCTTAGCAGAACCTTGAAGACAGTCACTGGCCAGCAGCCCCTGGGGGTTGGGGGAGTGTTCTTTTCATCTCCTGGTTAGATGAGTGGGACTCCTGAGGGCTGGGACAGGGGGCACTCCTCCTCCCCGCTAGCCGCCTGGCCTACTCTCCTTGTTCTCTCTGCGACTAAGCCTTAGGCAAGACATGTAGGTAAAAACGCCCCTGGGAGTTCTGTCTTTCCCAGAACATGCTGGAGCTGGAAGGGGGAAGGGGAGGGGGCACAGTGCCATTTGCTTCTCCTTATACCCTGAGGTCTGAGTGTAGCTCCAAGTCTAGGATTCTCCACGAGCCAGAGTAGGGGTGGGGTTACATGTTCAGAGCCCAGTGAGCTCAGCTCAGTCTGTGGGAATGGTCAGGAGTGAACCAGTGTCTGGTTTATCCTATTGATAAGAGTTTGAGGAAAGACCTCGAAGAAAGGGTTAGAAAAGGTAGACAATTGTTTTGCACCTGTTGTCCTATGAATGGCAGAGACCTCATGGAGAAGTGGGCAGGACTGTCCCTAGGAATCCTGTCAACTCTGATGATCCCGGGTCTAGACTCAGATCCTCAGAACCCTGCTTCCTCTACTCACTTCCTCCAAGAGATACCTGAGGTAGCAATTTCAGGCCAGCTTTGGCCAACACGGCCCCTTCGTTGCCTACAAGCACCTTCTTCTTCCTTTTTAAGCCACCCCTTGCCAGCATAGACATAGACCCTACAGACACACACGTATACTTTGAGTCCCATTTTGACACAGCTGCCTTCCAGAGGTTTCCTAGGGACTTTAGAATTGGATTTTAGTGAGGCCCTTGAAATTCGCAAGAAGAGGATCTCTAGTTGAATTTCAAACTCTGTTTACTGGAGATTGGGGGTAGAGGAGGATAGGAACACCTCAATTTCCTACTGGGCATTTCCACTTGGAGGTCCTTAAACTCAGAGTCCCAAACTGAACATTCCCTTCCCATCCACAGGCCTGCTCCTCACCCTTTCTCCTCTATGTTAGTTGAAGGTACCCAAACTCCTAATCTAGGAGTCATTCTAGACTGGCCCTGTCCAGTGGAACTTTCTGGGAGAATGGAAACCTTCTATATCTGCAACTGTTCAATAGGATAGCCACCAGCCACATGTGCTATTGAACAGTTGAAATGTGGCTAGAGCAACCAAGGAACCACATTTCTTATTTCAATAAGTTAAATGTAAGTAGCCACATGTGGCTGTTGGAGAGCACAGTCCATACTCCTCAAGATCCAACTTGCCTGTCCCTGCCTGTGAAGCCTTCTCTGACTGTGCAGCTGGAGATGGTGACTCTGTACCAGCACCCCCTGCAGTGAGGTTCAGAGAGCCCTCTCCCGCCTGCCGTCTTTGCTCAGTGTGAGCCACATCATCTCTCTTGCTTATTTCTGCACTCCACCCAGTCCTCCCACCGTACCCCATCTAGGCTTGCCGGATCAGATTATAGGCAGCAGGGTTGTTGCTGTAACGTAAGGGACAGAGGGTAGGATCTCAGCTGGACTGAGGCAGGAGAAGGAAGCAGTGGGGAGCTGGGTAGTGGAAAGACCACGGGCTTTGAAGCCGGACTGACCTGGGTGCAAATCATGGATGTGCCATCCGCCAGTGTGTGAACTTAGGTTGCTGAAACTTTCTTAGCTTTGGCTGCATCATCTAACAGCCATCATGCTTATCTCACTGGCTTGTGGTAATAATTAAATCAGATGCCTTGTGGGTCAAAGGGCAAAGCAGTAGTAAGCGCTCAACATGTTAGTTTCTTGCAGTTTCTCGTAAGTCAGAGGAATTTTTCTCCTGAAGGGGGCACCGACAACCCAACCTTTTGTAACCTTTTGGAGGGGATGCTCTTGGAAGCAGTTGCCTATTTACCTCTGCCAGCCCATTCAGGGGAGGAAGGCACAACTTCCTGCAGTGCCTTGGTGTGGATTGGACACTGAGACCACTTGGGACACACCTAAAGTAGTGTCAGGTCCACTGTAGGACAGAGGCAAGCCCCAATAGTGGGTCGTGCCCACTGAAACACCGCTGCCAGGACCATCCACAGATTGTATGACCCTGAGCCCCAAGAGCTCAGTGTCAGCAAAGCAGGGTGGCCATGTTTGCAGGAGAGGGCAGAAAGAGAAAGAAAAACCTTTGGGACCAGACTTTTATGATGCTGCTCTTGTGGTACATGTGAATAGCCTGACAGCCAGCTGAGCAAATGAGTTGGTGGGGGTGGGGGTGGGGGGAGCAGGGGGTGCAGCTTTTAGTGGGGCTTCACTAGCAGGAGGGCAGAGTCTGGGCATCCATGTGCCCCTGGCCTTGCTACACCCAGGTTCTGGGGGTCTCTCCCAAAGGAGAGGGTAGGTATGGACGCGGCCTGGTGTTGGATCCTACTCTGCCTTCAGATGGGCAAAGGCAGTGTGAGGGCTCAGCCTGCACAGAGAAGGGTGGGCAGATGAATACAGCACCGTAAGGAGAAGAGGAGGAGGAGGAGGGGGGAGGGGGGAGAGCGGGGAGGTGGAGGGGACCTGAGGCTGGGTGGGGAGAACGGGGTGAGGGTTAGGTCCTAACTGGTGGCTTTTCCTGCTCCGGACCCCAGGGCAGCACATCCAGTGGGGAGAACTAAATGATGGAACTTTCTCCTCCAGGCAATTTCCTCCCTCTCGTGCCCACCCCATCCCTTCCCTGCCCTGGACGCAGCATGGAGCCGCAAACCACACACTCATGAGGCCAACAGGACAGTGCTGGGGGTTGGGCCTGGTCCGGAAAACCCAGAAGGTGTGGCCACGTAGCTTTGTTCCTGCAAAGGCCCCTGCCTCAGGCCCCGTCCCACCCCCCCACTGGTGCCACCTCCCTCCCCTTGCCTGACCCTGATCCTTCACTTCACCCACAACATCTGATTCCCACTGCCCCTGAGTACATTTCCAGGTCTCAGGACAGCAGCCAGGTATGAAGATGGAAGAAAGCCACAAGCCAGTGCAGTGGCCTGCAGCATTTCCTGTGGACTTGGTGCTGCCATGGCTCCACCCGCCACCTGGGAGTAAAGGCCTCTCCAGCGCCCTCCAGGCTGGGGTACTGCCCAGCAGCTCTCACCCTGCTTTGTTTGCCAAGTAGCAGAGCAGGGATGGGAGAGCGAGTGGGAAGCTGTTCTCACCAGGTACGCCCTTCTCCCTGCTCCCCATAACCCCGCAAAGCCAGGGTGGGTCTCCCCCCTCCAAAGATGGTCTGCCCTCTGCTCACCAGCTTCCTGCTTCCCTGGACCCCCAGAACCTGGGTGTAGCAAGG